ATAGGCATTGCCCTGAGCTAAATTTTTGTCAACATAAATATGAATAACTTCCATTTTTGTTACATTTTTCAGTCAGATCATTCTTAATCCCTACATGTCATCCCCCTTCTGTTGAGGGTTAAACATCAAAGAGACTGTGTTGTAAGTGGATGAACAGGTGGAGCAGCAAAAGCTGAAATTTCAGTCTGTTGGGGAAGTCTTGTTTGCAAATCTGTAACAAAATAGAATACTACCACAGCACCAAATGCCTAAGAGTCACTCAGTTGTAGAGCTTGCTGTGCTCCTGGTGGAACCTGCAAACCTTGTATCCTCTACGCCTGTAATTCTACCATTCCAGAGGCTGAGGCAAAAGGACTGCTGTGAGTTTGAGGCCAACCTGGGCCTCATAGCAAGACCCTGTCTCAAAAATACAAAAAAAAAAAAACAGGTCAGATACAATAGGCTAAATATTGCACAGTTTTTCTTACATGAGAAACCAATAATTATAATATAAAGAGGACAACAAAGGATAGATAACAGGAAACAGGGAATTAGCCCTTTTGAAGATGGAAAAGAATATAGGGATGGAGGAAGAAGGAAGGGAAAGGGGAAGTTAAAAAAGGATTAAGACCTCGAAAGCGCAAGGACCCGAGTTTGATCTCCGATACAAAAAAAAGGATTAAGATATGATATATAGGGCCGGGGATTTAGCTCAGTGGTTTTGCTGCCTGCTGCGCAAGTGCAAGGACCTGAGTTCAATCCCCAGTACCAAAAAAAAAAGATATGATATATATATATGTACCAACTCCACAGAATGAATGTATTCATTATGTATTATAAACATATACTGCATGTTTGTATGGTTGTACAAAAAAAGATAAAAATATCATCCTCACATCTTGAACTGTCTTACTGTGGAGAAAAACTCCCCAATTCCTTTTGTGAAATTTTTGCAACCAGCTGTATGCAGAAAATTGTCTTTATATCTCTTTCCATAGGAGTTAGATTATCAGTAGGTTCCCTCACAGAGCTCTGGTCTTTTCTGAGTGGTCTTTTGCTTTTAGAACATCATCTGCTTAATTTGATGCTATAGTCATCTTTCCTCAGATTACACTGTGTAGTGGCCTCCACATCTGTGATCTCAACTTCAGTAGTGGCTCTATCTCCTTTCTTTGCTTCTACTTAACTTTCTTTCAAAGCTTTTTCTTTCTTTTCTCTGTCTACTTCACTTCCATAACTTATTTTTGCTCCTCTTTTGTTCATGACTGTGACTTCTGCTCTTTGTTTTTTTCTCTCTTTTATTACATTCTTCATGGCTGTTAGCACTGCTCAATTTGTCCTCATCCTTCTTGTAAGGAAGGAGATTCAAGCATTGCATCAACAATAGGATCATCTGCCTTTTTCTCTAAATCCCTGTGCAGGCCTTCAGATTCCAGCATTGCTCATATTTGGGATGAGATAGCTGTTGTTGCTGCTGCTGCCACCGCCGCCACCACCACCGCCCACAACTATCATTCTTATCTTTGAGTCTGCCTACCACAACTGGGCCCAGAAATATGTCTTTGACCTCAGCTGGGTTTCCATCTGGTCCTTTATCATCCAGAAGGCTAGCACTGGCTTGTTCATGTAGTAGCAGCAGCAGGTTCTAAGAGTATGGAAATAAAAGTTACAAGGTCTCTGGAGCCCTAAACTTGGAACACTTACTATGTCACTTCAGCTACCCTCTTAGTCAAAGCTAGTCAGCCAGCCAGGGAGTAAAGGGTAGGGAACTAATTTTACCCTTGCATAAAAGAAGTGGTAACTGGGCTGAGGATTTAGCTCAGTGGTTCCGGCGCCTGCCTCCCAAGTGCAAGGTCCGGAGTTCGATCCCCAGTACCAAAAAGAAGTTGTAACAAGTTTGTGACCTTTCAAAACCTACAAGATATACTATTCATTTTGTTTTGTTCAAATTTTGTTTAGTATCTTTGTATTTATCAAATGAGAAAATGTGCCTATAATTTTCCTTTCTCATAATATCTTTGTCTGGTTTTGGCATCAGGATCATACTGACCTCATAAAATGAGTTGGAATTCCCAACTCTAAGCATTGCACTTGTGAGAGAGTTGGTATACAAGTTTTTATTGGTTGAATGAATGAATGAATGAATAGGTAAGTAAATGACTATAGAAGAGACAGAAGAGTCAGAGAAGTAAAAATCCACTAGGAAAAAAAGTGTGAATAGTTGAATGTTACAGAATTTTGTTAAAATGGAAGTTCTTAGTTTTATCTACTTCTTAACATTACTTGTGTAGTCTTTCTTCTTAGGATGGACATTCTGCTCTGTTCCCAAATTGGAATTCACTGGTAAAAGAGAAAAGAAAGACACTTTTCCAAGTGTCTATAATTTGTATGGTACTCTGAGGTCCTAGTTACTATGGTAGCTATAAAGAAGCAATCCAAAAAGGAGGGTCTGAGAGGGAGAGAAATGTGGCAAAAGTACAGCAGAGCTAAAAAATTGGCTGGCTAGAAATTACTGTTCCCAGGACATTTAGTGATTCAAGGTTTTGTGAGACTAAGGACTTGGGAAGGGTAAGCATTCCAAAGTATATCCAAAAATAACATCTCTATGTTTCTTTTTTAAAAGACTAGCTCACAATCAGACCTTTGTTGGCTTTGTTATATTCTCAAGTTTCCATACATTTTCATGTAACAGATGAATTGATACATGCCAAAATTGCTGTGTGGCACTTGGAATTCTCTGCAAAATTTTGCTCCAAATTGGCAGTACAGTGTATTTGCTCTTCCTTCTTTGAATATCACTAATTTTGTTTGGGGGAAGGGGAGAAGATAAAACTTTGTTTTCCCTATTCAGGTTCAAACAGTGCATATAAGATGACCAAACACTATCTGGCTGATGGTCTTGAATGCTTTCAATCTCCTGAGCTAAAGATATTATACAGTTAAATAATACCTTTTCTTCTAGGTACATAGGTAGCTATAGCTAACAGTGAAGCATGTTTAGTTGTACAATAGCTACTATCTATAATAGACAAAAATATTCAGACAGTATTACAAAGAATATTTTTCCTAGAGCTAAATTTTCAGCTTCTTTGTAAAGATGTCTTAAACTATTGCTTTGTTGTGAGGATCAAATGATCAATATTTGGATATTTTTACTTACCTTCATTTAATATTTTAGTTAATAACATTATTATAAATTCTTTATAATATTAATTCATTTAAAGCCAGTCATGGTGGCACACACCTGTATTTCCAGCTATTCTAGAGGTTGAGGCTAGAGGATCACTTGAGCTTATGAGTTCAAGACCAGCTTGGGCAACAAAGCAAAACCCTAGCTCAATAAATACATTAACTAATTGAAATTCATTTACTCCTCATAACAACCTGTGAGGTAAACACTGTTATCCCCATTTTTCAGATGAAACCGAGCAATAGAGAGGTTAGATATAGATATAACCTAGCCAGTTATATTGTTCTCAATCATTGTGCCATGCTACCTCTGTGTAATCATGCCTTTGCAAGATATAAACACTGTCTTAGTTACTTTTCTCATTGCTGAGACAAAATACTCAACACCCAAAGTTAAAGGAGAAAACATTTATTTCAGCTCACAGGTTGTAGAGGTTTCAGTTTATAATCAGCTGGCCACAAGGCAGGGTGGCGTGGCAGCAGGGAGCACAGAGGGGAGACAGGCAGGCAGAGGACAGCAAAGGCAGCAAGTAACAACAGTAGCCCCCTTTCTGGCCCTTATTCTATCCAGGCTACATGCTCTTAGGGCAGGTAGCACTCACACCCAGGATGGGCCTTCCCATTATCTATACCTAGAACTATGCCAAACCAATCAGTGGACTAATTTAGTAACCATATATCCTTCATCCCAGCATCACACACTCCAGATCCAACCACCTCTGAAAAGCCCACCTATGACTGCATGAGGCTTTAGGGGGTACATCTAGACATAAGCCATAAAGACACCATACAGATATTAGTAGTACATTATCATATGTCCAACACTGTACTAGATGTTATAGAAAACACATTGAGGAGCTTTTAATTTGGTTGGGAGGAAGAACACAAAAAATAAGAAATAAATGGCAATGTATGAGATCACTTTCTACCACATAACTCCATACCTAGTAAACTAGCATTTTTTAATGCTCCATATATAGCATAACATCTGGTGCATAGTAGACATGTAGTTGATGTTGGTAAATATGGATGACCTTAAATAATATTATTTCCATTTTCACAATGAGTAGACTTAGATCATTATGTGCAAGGTTATTATTTGTAGAAAGAGAGCTCCTTATTTTACATTCTGTGCGTCATAGTGGGTTTATGAATCATCTACTTTGCTAATCAGTATCTTGACTGCCCCTCTTTTCTTTTTTTTGTCGTCATTGTTGTTGTATTTTCAGTGCTGGTGATCAAACGAATGTAGAGCCTTGTGAATGATAAGCAAGTCCTCTACCACTGAGCTATACCCCAGCCTCCTTAACTTTTTATTTTTGAAATAATATCATATTTACAGAACGATTACAGTAACACAAAGAACAAATCTTTACCCACATTTTCCAAATGCTAACATTTGCTCCATCATTCTCTCTTTATAATATATATATATTCAGTATACGTAATATGAATATACAATATGTTATATATAATTGCTTTTTAGAACTATTTGAGAATTAAATTGAGACCAATTTTTATTTGCCTTTAAATGTATATCCCACAGTCCTGAAAAAGAATGGTCTCTTAAATAAGAAATTACATTGGTACAATACATGAATCTACATACCTTATTCAAACTTTACCAGTTACCCTGATAATATCCTTTACAGCAATAAAAATTTTTTGACTGTTCATATTTTAAACACTGTGGTATATATTGCATAGCACTCTTCGTGGCTTTTGCCACATCTCAATCTCATATTTGGTTCCAAGAGTACCTTGTCCCCTGACTTAGTCATGCAGGTGGGGCAAATGGCTTGATTTGATTTTCTTTCTTTTGTGTGATTCAGTGGAGCAGCGTGACTTCATTGGAGTGGACAGCACAGGAAAGAGGCTGCTTTTCATGGCTAATGAAGCAGACTTGGATGAAGAGCTGGTCATTAAGGGATCCATCCTACAGAAGTAAGCCCTAGGGATTTTCTTCTTGGCAGTTCTTTTTGTCTTAACACAAAATAAAACCACCCACCATGGAAAAGAGGGAATGAAACTAGATTATACTGTGTGAAATTGACAAAAGTATGTGAATGTTTTTTCCATGAGGCAGGATGAAGGCTTTTCTGTACTGCATGAGTTTAACTTTCCCCATATCTTTTTTTTTGGTACCAGGGATCGAACTCAGGACCTTCTGCCTGCAAAGCAGGCAGCAGAACCACTGTGCTAAATCCTTGGCCCCTTCCCCGTATCTTTTCTTGCTAAAGAAGAGACAAACGCTACATAGGAGTAGAGCAAAGCAGCTATGCAGAGAACAGCACTGTCTTTCTGACAGTATTGCAGACCTTTTAAAAAGAAAAACATCATGCCAAAAAGCACATAACATAAAACTTAATCATTTTATTTTTAAGTGAGCAGTTTATTAATGTTAAATATGTTCACATTGTTGGGAACCAGATCTCCAGAACTTTTTCATCTTGCAAATATGAAACTTTATCCCATGAAACAACAATTCCCCTTTCCTCACTTCCAGTAAGGCCCTGTTAATAATACTACTTTCTGGGACTGGGGATTTAGCTCAGTGGCAACAGGTGCCTGCCTTGCAAATGCAAGGTCCTGAGTTTGATCCCCAGTACCAGAAAAGAGAAAAAAAAAAGAATTCTACTTTCTGTTTCTGTTAATTTGACTACTTTAGATACATATATACTTTAAATCATATTTGTCTTTCTGTGACTGACTTATTTCATTTAGTATAATGTCTTCAGGCCTCATCATGTTCTGTACCATAGGACAAGATTTTCTTCCTTTTTAATGCTGAATATTATTCCATTGTGTGTGTGTGATATATATATATATATATATATATATATATATCACATTTTGTTCATCCACTCATCTACTGGTAGGCATTTGTGTTACTTTGACCTCTTGGCTATTGTATATAGTGCTGCTCTGAATATGGGTATGCAGCTGTCTCTTCAAGACCTTGCTTTCAGTTCTTTTGGGTATATATCCAGAAGTGAGATTGAACCCAGGGCTTCACACATGCTAGGCAATCACTCTACCATTTGTGTTATACTCCTAGACCTATTTTAAATTTTTTGAAGAATCTCTTTTTCCATAACACTTGTGCCATTTTACAATCTCACCAACAGTATATAAGGGTTCCAGTTATTGTTTTTTGTAGTAACCATTTTAATAGGTGTGTAGTGCTAGCTCATTGAGAACCTCCTTTTAATACAGTGCTACCCATAGACAACCCAGTCACATTTTCTTCAATCAGCATTTATTGACTGCTTATGTAAGATAGACTTTCATCAGAAGCCACATACTCAGAACCCTGCCTGATACCAGTATATAAGAATGTTTAATGAGTGTTTGAAGCCTGGGGAAAATGAATATGAGAGGATAAATTAAGAAAAGAAGTTGGGCTGGGGATTTAGCTCAGTGGTTCCGCCACCTGCCTTGCAAGCACAAGGACCCGAGTTTGATCCCCAGTACCAAAAAAAAAAAAAAGGAAGAGAAGTATCTTACTTTTTGCCTTTACTATCCATATCCAGCTCAACAGATAGAAAATATATTTCAGAGTATATAGTTCAGTGAAAAACTAAACTGTCTTCAGTTAAGCCCAGTTACCTGTGTGGATAAGAATTCTTTATTAGTGTCTTTGTCATCTCATCAGTAAAATGGGGCTAATAATAATAGGGGTATTGTGGAGAATAAGCGAGATAATACATATTAAATAATTAGTATAATGCCTGTTACCTAGAAAGTTTTTTTTTAATTCACATTATTATTATTATTATTATTTCTAAATGAATAAACAGCTGTTGGAAATACTGCATAATATAACTTCTGGGTTACAACAGTTGTTTCAGACTGTATCACAGAACTTGCTGCAATTAGTTTCTAGTTAGAAAATAAAAAATAAAAATAAAAATCAGCACAAGTTTTAACATCAGCAAGCAAAAGAGGATAATTAAATTAATAAAGCTTAGACTGTAGTCAAGGAAAGAAAGAATATTCAGGTGAGGAACAGAGAGGCAAAAGTGGGTTCCTAATTCTACCCTTTCAGTGCTCCCCAAGAGGCCATACTGACATGTTAATAAAATCCTGCGAGGGCTGGGAATTTAGTTGAGTGGTGCCACTGCCTGCCTCACAAGTGCAAGGTCCCGAGTTCGATCCCTGGTACCAAAAAATAAATAAAATAAAATAAAATCCTGCAAGTTCTCAATACAATCCCCCAAATCTGGAAAGAAGTAAAATGAATACATCTTTATCTTTAGCCTCTTCTAAGAAGCAGAAGGAGTAGTTACTGGGGAAGGGAAAATGAGCAATGCAGCTGATACTTTAACAAAATGGAATATCTAAGGTTAAACAATGAATAAGGAAACTAAAACAATGAAATATGCCACCTAGTTATGTGGAATGAACCGAGAATGTTAAAAACACAGACTGAAAAAAAAAAAACAGACTGTACAGCATCTTAACTGTGTTCCTTATCCCTTCACATTCCTCCCATTCACATCATTCTCTGAATAGAAAAATACAGAGAATAACCTGTAGGGTGACAAGAGACAAGAATTTATCTATGTCACATCAAAACAAATAAACATATACAGAAAACATCAGCTGGAAGAAAACAAATTATACAGAGAGAAGAAAACTTCAAAAAGTTCCCTCGGAGAAACTTATAAATTCAACAAATATTTGAGCATATATACCACTGTTCAAGAAGCCAGGAACACAGCAATGAACAGACACAAAAAACCCTTGCCCTCACTGAGAGATGAGAGAATATTGGATTTTCTTCTCTCCCCTCCCATCTCCTCCCTTCTCCCCCCCCCCCCTCTTTTTTTTTTGGTATGGGGATCAAACTCAGGACCTTGTGCTTGTGAAGCAGGCACAGTGCCACGGAGCTAAATCCCTGGCCCTCCCTTTTCTTCCTTTGATGAGGCCTCACAATGTTAACCAAGCTGGCCTGAAACTCATGATCCTCTCACCTCAGACTCACAAATAACTGGGATTATAAGTATGTGCCACCGTACTCACTGTTCAAAAAGGAGCATTTCATATGCTCACTTTGTCGGCAGCTATATTAAAAAGGAGCATTGACAGAACAAAATGTGCTGATACTTTAATGGGAAACTTGATAGAAAAGTTGGAAGAAAATTTTTGAAAAATTTTCCACAACAAATTGATGGAAAATAGAGAAATAAAAACATTAAAAGGGTGGCCGATGAGAAAGAGAGAACAGAAAAATGAATGAAGGAAAAAGACATCAGTGAAATTTCTCAGCCCTGCATAGTAACACACACCTGAAATACCAGCACTCGGAAGGCAGAGGCAGAACTGCCACAAGTTCAAGGCCAGCCTGGGGTACATAGTAAATTTAAGGCTTGCCTAAACTATAGAATGGGACCCAATCTCAAATAAACAAAAAAATAAAATAAAAATAAATAATAAAAAGTGTTAGAGATGTAGCTTAGTGTAAAATCCCTAGGCTCACTCCCTAGTACCACCAGAAAAAAAAAGAAAGCAAGAAAAGAGCTAGGTTTCTACCCTGGAAGGAAAACAATTGTCCAATAAAATGGATGTAAAGAAACATATCAATGTTGCCCTTTTGAAATTTTGTAACTCTGATAACAGATAAAACAAGTTCCCTCAAAGGTGAGGACGTATCATTCACAAAGGTATTAAAATAACTTAAAACTTCTTAACAGCAACACTTGAAATTTTCTTATGTGGAGAAATGCCTTCAAAATTCTTAACTCTATATCTAGTCAAACTATGAATCAGGAATGAGAATAAATAATAACTTTTCAGACAGTTGCTTCCCATATATCTGTTCAAAAAGCTCCCAAAGTACAAACCCGTGACACAAATTAACAAAGGGAAAGATGTAAACTGTAGGAAAAAGGGCATCTTGATTAAGAAGAAAGGTGAATTTCTAGGGTGATGATGGCAACCAAATCAGAGTGGGACCTGTCAGAAAGCTTTGGAAATGGTTTCTTTAAGATACTTGTTCTTCTTGCTGGGTGATAACATAGATGTATTTTTTACTGTGGCTCAAAATGTAAAAATTATTTACTGCTAGAAAAGATAATCATAGTTCTTATGAAAAATACAAAATATTTGATATATCTCCATATTTGAAGGTGTTTTGAGCTTTTGGTAGTTTGTAGTTGAATCATTGATAAGCCTTCCAGAAAACTAAGAAATAATAAGACAATTTTTAACACCAAGGCAAACAACAAAAATACAGGAAGGAATTAATCATTTTTTTACTAAATGGCTTAGCTGTAACTAATGTTCACTTCTTGAAGCGTAATATAATCACTGACTTGATCTAGCCAAAATTTTGATGTAATTTGGAGTACAGTTAATATGCTGGAGGCATAGTAGTAGCAAATACCTAGATCTGAAGTCATAAAAATTTAATCATTGAATCAGGCATGGTGGAGCATCCCCATAATCTCAGCACTCAGGAGGCTACGGCAGGAGGATCACCATGAGTCAAAGCCAGCCTGGACTACATAGTGAGTTCAACGCTAGCCTGAACTATGTAATAAGACCCTGTCTCAAAAATAAAACCAACCAAACAACAACAACAAAACCTAAAAAAACCTTAAGCATTGATATTGAGCTAACCTAAATAATGAAACCAATTAAATTGAGAACATAACTTCCTTTCATAACCAACCCCACCATACATAACCACACTTGTTGTGTATAGTAGTGTGGTTATGCATGGGTGGGGTTAGTAATGAAAAGAAGTTAAATCCATCTTCTACAGGGGGGAATTAATAGATAATTCCTGAAGTAGAAAAACTGAGAACTATCAATATAAGAGTATTAATAGGGGTTGGGGATTTAGCTCAGTGGTTCCGTTGCCTGCCTTGCAAGCACAAGGTCCCAAGTTCAACCCCAGTACCAAAAAAAAAGAATATTAATGGATGATGTAAATACTA